TGAAAGCGCCTTCACAGCAGAAATGAGTTTGTGGGACCCCGGGGTGCAGGAGGTCAGTCTGAGTGCTGAGGAAGCAGAAACAGTAATAGAACTACCCATCCCCCTCTTAGACAGAGGCTGAAGTAGCCGGGGCTAGTCTCTAATAAACTGCTTCTTGTGAGGGTTAGCACTAGCTGAGATCCCCATGAACAGCAAGGTCTGGAAGACAGCAAAGGAAAGATCGATGTTACTGAGGGGCCTTGGTGTGGATGAGGTGTTGTTGGACCCTAGTTCACTGAGCCAGAGAGAAGCGTTCAGAAAGAAGCTAAGCAGCAGGGATCTTAGGGCTGGCATGGGGCTTGAATTCGATCTTTACAACGTAGAAGAGGCTCTGACAGGTCAGCAATTTAGACTGGCACGTCGCTGAGTTTGTAAGGTAGAGCCATCAGGAACATATGAAGGAAAAGGGGAAGCAGACCACGGGGCCTGTCTGGGTTACTTGAATGCAAATGAGGCAAGATTTGTGTTGAGCCTGGGCAGGGGCTGGGGATGACAGAAAAGCTAAATGCTGCCCAGGTGAGCCCCAGAAGGGGTTTAAACCTTGAGCAATACTTCACCAAAGGTGTGCATGTGGTGGGTACTGAGTGGGGGCTGGGCAGGTGGCTCAGCAGTTTGGAACACTCGCTGCTCTTCCAGAGGACCCACATTCTGGTTTACAATCTCTTTGGCACCAGCCCCAGGGTATCCAGTGCCCTCTTCTGGCTTCTTTGGGTATCAGGCACCAAGTGATTCATACGTACAGACAAAATAGCCGTACAAAATTAAATAATTAAATTTCAAAAAAGAAATAGTGAATGACAAAAAATACGTGTGAAAATATTAAGCTTCTCCCAGGCATGCACAATTACTCTCCTAGCTATGCTGGGTTTGTTTCTCCCCTGCAAGAAGGCATATGAAGGGTGAAGTTTTGTTCAGCTTCTCCAGGAACCAGATGTGGGCGATGGAGAAGTAACAAGGTCTGAGAACCTGGCAGAAGTGGGGAGCCGGCACCAGTGACACCCAAGAACCTGGTTTTGTATACTCTGGCTCTAGACTGGGTCAAGTAGTGTAAGCCAGCCTTGCTAAGCCTGTTGGATGCAGGTGGATGCATAATGACCCCACAGTGTGGGGTAGGGGGGCAGCAGATGAGGAGATGGAATAATGTATTGAAAATTATGGTGGATTATTGTGAAGAGTTGGTTAAGAATGCCCCCCCCCCCCATAGGCTTATATATTTGAGTGCTTAGTGGTCAGGAAGTGGCTGTACTTGAGAAGGATTAGGAGGTGTGGCCTTCTTAGAATGGCTGGAGGAAATGTATCCCTGGGGGTGGGCTTTGGGGTTTCAAAACTCTGAGCCAGGCCTAGTCTCTCTCTCTCTCTTTTCCTCTTGCCTGCTGATCTGGATGTAGAACTTTCAGCTACTTCTCCAGCATCCTGCCTGCCTGTGTGCCATGTACTCCCTGCCATAACAGACTAAGCTTCTGAAACCGTAAGCAAGTCCCAGTTAAATGCTTTCTCCCATAAGAGTTGTTGTGGTCGTGGTGTCTCTGCACAGCAATAGAACGCTGACTAAGACCACTGCGGAGAGCTGGATGAGACAGCCGTCTCCCATCCAGCCTGCTGCACCTGACACTGCTTATTGATATAACAACTGATGCAGTGGTGGCATCTTTCATGTGGCACTGGAGCTTGCTAATGTTTTACTCTAACTGTGCCCTTGGCTGCTGACTCTCAAGACCAATCGGCACTTGTTTGGAACAGATGGTAGTGGGCCTTCAGAGAGGCTGTCTATCTTCTATAAAAAGTTTCCTTATATAATGCTAAACCTTGAATATCTTACAGATTTGGAAAGGCATCTGGAAGAACGGTAAAAAACAGCAATTAAAGAGCTTAAGTGAAGACTCTGTGGGTGGAGGAGGCACACCCAGGAGCCAGAAGGTTACCGAATAGAACCACAGTGCGAGACGTGGATTACCACCCTGTAAGTCATCGGCTGGGGAAGCCCTGAGGTCCCTTAAACCATAAATATTATTGCCACTGCTGTTGATTGCATTCCAGAACTAGATAGCAAGTTCTTCTTGTTGAAGACACCACACACTTTGACTGAAGGTCAGAGAGAAATGAGATTGTGGCTGACCTGGAAACGTATTCCCTGTCTGATGTCTTTGTTTTCAGCGCCAGAAATTGTTACCCTGACTCCCAGGGGAGAACAGTTGACAGTCCTGCTGTTATTGACCCTGTGGTAGTGTTGTTGACACTACCAGTGTAGTGATTGGTGAGATGTGGTCGTGGTGTAAGTGTGACACACTATCATGGGTGTGGCTAGCTGCTTTCCAGTTGGACTGAAGTCCTGCTGCAAGGACACAGAGAACTCATGTTTAGGATGATTAAGTCACAACAAAAACTGGTTGCCAGAGAAGTTTCTGGCTCCAAGGTCCCGGGAAGCTATTGCTGTTATTAAATGAATATGATATGCCTATCAAATTGCCTTGTAGACGTTGATGCTTGTATCCATAGATTACTATTGCTGTCAGCCTTAGTTATGGAAGGGGATTATTTTTTTTTCTTTTTCTTTCTTACTGTTGGCAGTAGTTACTGTGGAAACTTATAACTAGCTGTTAAGAATAAGTGACAACAGACACTGAGAGAAACAATTAATAAATGGGACCTCCTGAAACTGAAAAGCTTCTGTAAAGCAAAGGACATGGTCAACAAGACAAAATGACAACCTACAGAGTGGGAAAAGAGCTTTACCAACCCCACATTAGAGGTCTGATCTCCAAAATATACAAAGAGCTCAAGAAATTGGTCATCAAAAGAACACATAATCCAATAAAAAATGGAGTACAGACCTAAACAGAGAACTCTCAACAGAGGAATCTAAAATGGCTGAAAGACACTTAAGGAAATGCTCAGCATCCTTAGCCGTCAGAGAAATGCAAATCAAAACAACTCTGAGATTCTATCTTACACCTGTAAGAATGGCCAAGATCAAAAACACTGATGACAACTTATGCTGGAGAGGTTGTGGGGAAAAGGGAACACTTCTGCATTGCTGGTGGGAGTGCAAGCTGGTACAGCCCCTTTGGATGACAGTGTGGCAATTTCTCAGAAAATTAGGAATCAACCTTCCTCAAGACCCAACAATATCACTTTTAGGTATATATCCAAAGGATGCTCAACGGTATCACAAGGACATGTGCTCAACTATGTTCACAGTAGCATTATTTGTCATAGCCAGAACCTGGAAACAACCTAAATGCTCCTTGATCGAAGAATGGATAAGGAAAATGTGGTAGATTTATACAATGGAGTACTACACAGCAGAAAAAATGACATCCTGAAATTTGCAGGCAAATGGATGGAGCTAGAAAACATCATATTGAATGAGGTAACTCAGACCCAGAAAAACAATTATAATATGTACTCACTCATAAGTGGTTTTTAAACATAAAGCAAAGAAAACCAGCCTACAAATCATAATACCAGAGAACTTAGACAACAACGAGAACCCTAAGAGAGACATACATGGATCTAATCTACATAGGAAGTAGAAAAAGACAAGATCTCCTGAGTAAATTGGGAACATTGGGATCTTGGGAGAAGGTTAAAGGGGAGGGGAGAAGCAGGGAGGGGAGCAGAGAAAAATATAGAACTCAACAAAAATCAAATATATATATATATATATATTCATATATATATACATGAATAAGCGACAAGTGAAGTGAAGGTGGCAAATGACTTTAATCTCAGCACTAGGGAGGCAGAGGCAGGCAGATCTCTGTAAATTTGAAGCCAGCCTGATCTACAGAGCTAGTTCCAGGATAGCCACGGTTGTTACACAGAGAAACAACTGTCTCGGAAGAAAAAAAAAAGGAAAGAAAAGAAAAAAAGAATAAGGGACAATTGTGACTTAGTGGGCCCAGTAAAGTGAAAGAAAATAACCACATATCCTGATTAGTTTTGTATCAACTTGACACAAGCTAGAGTCAAAAGTGGGAAGGCAAATGTCAGCTGAGAAAATGCCTCCATCTATGCTGCCCATTTGCAAGACTGTAGGGCCTTGTCTTAATTGCTAGTTGTTAAAAACCCAGTCGGCTGTGGGTGGTGCCACTCCTGGTCTGAGTGCTATAAAGAAGTGAGATCAGTAACGTGCGAGGATCAATCCAGTAAGCAGCATGCTGCCAGGGCTTCTCCTTCAGTTCCTGTCTCTAGGTCCTGCCTTGAGTTCCTGCCTTGGCTTCCTTCAGCGGTGGAGTGTGACCTGAGAGTTACGAGATGAGACAAACCCTTTCCTTTTCAAGTAGCTTTTGGCCATGGTGTTTTATCACAGCAACAGAATCCCTAACTAAGATATCACCTGCCTATATTCCTCTGAGGCTCAGGGAATATTGCTGAAGAAGAGGTTCAAACAAACAAACAAACGAACTAACAAAAGAGTGGGAGGAAGGGGTGGAGTGTTGTCTATATTTTCTCTGAAATGAAATATCCCTTCCTGGAAAGAGGAGGGAGGCTTATGACATATAGAAAGCTAGAAAGGCATAGGTTAGGAAACCTACAAAGTACAAGAAGCCCAGAGAGTCGTAAGACCCCTGAGGCCCTTTCCAAGTATATACAAGCAGTCACCAATTGCCAGCAAAGGTGAATCTGCAGGACAGAGGGCCAGTGTTTCTGTCTGAGCACTGGGTAGAGAATTCCAATGACTCCTCCTTCAAGTATTGTCTAGGCTGGAGGTGGGCGTTTTGGTGACGCAGCTGCCTTCAAGGTACCCATGCACCTGCAGGCAGCCCCAATAAACTCATTGGTTCAGCAATCTAGACTTGGGTGAAATCAATGCTTTGCTTTGTCCTTGGTGCCTTATAAGTATTGACTGGACATTTTTCACATTCCCGGGGAACAGTCAGACAATACCAGGCCAAAGACTAAAGATGTCACAGTCTTAGTTGGATTCTTATCAAGCTGTCCAGGAAGCCTGTGCCAAAGATTTTTCATACCCATTTAATGATAGCGACCGCAGTGGTAAGTGGTAACAGCAACGGAAACGAACCAACACTAGACTATGCGTCTTCCATTAGAACTGCCTGATTTCCTATCACAGTGGTCTTAGGAATGGGCAAAGAGTACAAAGGCCCTTTGGACCTTTTTCTCCTCGGCTCAGCCCTTAGTGATCTGGGCTCTCAGGAGAGAGCTGTCTTCCATTCTTTCAGTGACAGAGTCTCCTTGACTGAATAACACATCTGAGAGTTGAGTCAACAGTCTGGCTTCCCTCCATGGACTGCATGTCTCCCTGGGGTTGTGGGGGAAGCACGCGTGGCTGAGCTAGCACACCTGACATACTTCTGGGCACTTCTGCAACGTGTGTGTCTGCATCCTAGGATGCTGCAGGAAACACCAGGGTTGTGTCCAAGAAGGCCCTTGCCCTGTGTCTGACTTCGACGTATCAGGCAGTGGGCAGGTCTGAGGGGAAGCTGCTTTCGGATGTGGCAGACAGCAGTGTTACATCTCAGACTAGAACGAAAGACAAGACAGTGGCAAAGGGAAAGTCAGATGTCCTGGCAAAGTAATGGCAAGGTCAACATCTTCCTTTCCTAAGGTCGTTTTGCTCTCCCGCTCTCCCCTCCAGGGGCCAGGTTAGCATCTTCTCCCTTGGAAAGGGTCCAGCAGTTTTCTTCTAGTTGTATAGAATGATAAAGCTTGGGGTGGGTTTTGCACCCCGAGGTACTTGTATTCCACAGATATTGCTAACCTAAGGAATCTCCGCTTTAATAGAGAGATCTCAGACTGTCAGCTTGCTGGGAGAAAAATGCATTTGGGATGTAAAAGGTTGTCAGAGCTATTTAAATCAAATCTAAGGAGGATGCATGCCCTTAGGGTACATATCTGAAGGGAGGGCTCCCCATGGGACTAAAGCACTCACCTTCCGCACATTGTAGATCCAGTCGAGATAGGCAGTGACCTTGGTGTACACTCCAGGGGTAGTTGGGCTCCCACAGCCATAGCCCCAGCTCACAATGCCTACTACCTGCCAGTGGTTAGAGTGGTACATCAAAGGCCCACCACTGTCACCCTGTGAAAAGCGAGGACAGGAGTTGCTGGGGAGGGCTGGCCAGGCGAAGGGGGGGCCATCTTCCTCCTGTCCCTGAACTGGCCCATTGGCTCCCTTGCATTCTCCATGGCTCTATGTGCTGATTTCTCTACCCTCCTTCTTGCTCATGGTACTCAGTGTTCTTTACTCTGTGGCCCATCTGTGGGGAACTAAACTGAGGGCAGCTGCCTGCCTTCTCAGAGGGTCATAAGTCACACTAGCAAATTGAATTTTGTTTAGCCCGGCAGTTCCTACATCGATCGAGCTGCCAACGGAGTGCCTATTTATGTTTGATCCCGTTCTGGATAACTGAGGTTCAATTAACTAGACCAAAGTTCCTTGCCCCCTCCCCCCAACCCCAGGAAGTTTACAATCAAATAGGTAGGCAGAGCCAATAAGTGAGCAGATGACAAAACAACGCAGTGAAAACCACACTCAGGGCCTCTCTCTGAGCTTAGCAGCACTGCTGCGGCCTGACTGCCTGCTTGCATAGCCTCTCTGTGGCCACTAGGAGTTCCTGGAAGGCAGACACTGTCGCTAAATCTGCTATGTTCATGGTCCACAAGAGATGGCTCAGAGACAGCTAGCTCTTGAATGAGGGTTTTTGGGTCAGGGGATGGGAGTAGGCTGAGAAATTTGAATAATAAGGGCTCCAGAGATTTTCTGGAGGTATGGGATGGTAAGAAGGTACATAGGAATTGCTCAAGAGTCCTGGTGGTCAGGGAGATGGGAAGAGGGGGCATGTACCAAAGCTCACCTAGCATGAGATGGTCTTTCTCGTAAAGTATAGCAGTATACGGGTAGTCACAGAGAAAGCAGACTCGGGGTCAGTCCTCAAAGGGGTTACAGATGATGGGAAGTGAGGGTGGGTGGAGAAGGTGGCAATGCCATCTTTACAATATACATTTGAATTTTCTGCTCACGTAGCTCCGTGTCTCCATCTACCCAGCCATCCATTCTTTTATCTTTACCAGACCTTCCTTAACCACAAACAGAGACCTTCCTTAACCACAAACAGAGAGCTACAATCCGCAAGGCTTCATGTGGGCATCCAGTTTGCAGGTTTTCATGTTTTCAGGACCCACATCCCTACTCACAGAACTCCCATGGTCTTTGGAGGACCCACCTGGCAGGAGTCCACGCCACCTTGTAGGGTACCTGCACACAGCATCTCAGCGGTGACGTCCCCCTGGTAGGCATCCTCGGCATTGCAGCGGGCGCTGTCAATGACCTGGACTGACGCCTGCAGCAGCACGTCGGACATCTCCCCTGGGAGGTTGAAAACGTATTTCCTCGTTCCCGCCTGGACCCTCAGCCCCTGTTAATTTTCTGGACAACCAAAACTCTTGGATGCCTAGAATTTTGGTAGCTTGGTCAGCTAGGATGGGCTTTCCTGAAAGATGTTCCTCTTTCTTATTACCGATCGGGGGTTGGGGAGACCTAATAAAATACCCTCATGCAAAGGATCTGAGGTCTTGAGCCCAACACTCACCACCATTTTGCTCTGTAAAGCCCCATCCAGTGACCCAGAGTGGTGTGCCTGGGATGAGCTCTTCATCAAAGAAGGGCAGGCAGATGGGCCTGATGGTGTCTGCCGGGAACGGAGAGAAAGACTCTATATTAGGGCTGATTTTTTGTTTTGTTTTCTATATTTTGTGCTTTTACAAGTTGGGGGTTTTGCTGGTCTAAGTGTGACTAGATTAGCTAATTCCTAAAGAGAATAAGCTACTTGTCTGTGAGGCCCTCAGTATCTAAATCTGGAGTCCACACCCTTGACCTCATTCACCATCACCCGACTCTTATGAACCAAGTCAATATTTTTTTCTGCCGTAAACCACCCCAGGGCTAGATAGTAAACCTCTAGAGACCAATCTCTGCAGTCTAGACAACTATTCTCAGTCTCCAGTTTCAAGCATGCTTAAACTGGCCTACCCTAGCTCCCTCCTGTGGTCTGGAACCACAAACAACACTTGGGCTGTCCCCTGCCTCGCCCCCATCCTTTCTGTCTTCTGATACAAGCACACAAACACACGCACAAACACATACCAAGAAAAACCCAGGAAATACTAGGTTCCTTGTTCCTGGAGGAACGCAGAGTCACAGAGTCACACTGGTTATTGCGCCAGGTCTTAAGCACTGGTCAGGGGTAAGGAACGGACTAGACAATTCTTTTAAAAAGGCCCTAACAACTCCAAGATCAGGTGACTTGGATTTTCCAAATGGAACAAACAGACTTGAACGATTGAATGTTAGCTGGCAGTCAGGGCAGGTCCCCTGGTACCAGAAATGTCGAGATGTATATTAGTTGGACACCCATGGGCAAGCTGAGGTCTTAGAAAGAACACGGCGTGTCCAAGGCTGCTTGCTTAGCAGGGTGGGGTAAGGACAATCTGAGGGGCTCTGTTCCCAGGGACCACCTCTCACCTGTGAATGTGAGAGGCCCCTGCAGCTTGGCGAGGGCAATGTCCTTCTCTCTGGAGTTCAGGGCATTTTCCTTGGTGACAAAGATCTTGGCTACAGACAAGGAGGAAACGTGGTCCAGTTTGCTTGAGCCGACTCTCACCTTCCAGTTGGACAGATCAAGGTACTTCCTAGGGGTGGAGACAGACAGGTAGATGGGTGGGGGCAATTACACTGAGGCTTTGCCTGAGGCTAGGTCTCCAAGTCTGCTAGGAGATCATGTGACAGGGACCAAAGTGGTGGAGGCAGCAGTCTGAGGAGCCACCTTCCTGAAGCCTTATAAAAGGAAATACGATTCTGTTTCTTATTAAAAGGGCCCAAGGAAACTTCCACCTGGAGGGTTTGGGAAGAGGCTGCCCCATTGTGGGGCCTTAGAGTCCTGCCAGGTTCTCCTGCACCCTTGGTCTTGTCTATGCTGCTTGCATTGTAGTCTGTTGAGTTGTGGGCTTGTGTTCATTCTTCTCCTTGCCAGGTCCTGCCTATGCACAGGGAGCTTTCCCCAGGAGCAGATTTAGAGCTCTTGTCAGTCTCAAAAAGGTAAAAATCCCCTGAGCTAGACTGAGGTACCTCGAAGGGGACATGGGTCTATGTGATGCCCAGGATCTGAAGGGAGTGGTTCTTGGTACTCACTGGATGCTGAGTGAAATGGATGAATGAAAGTGAAGGGGGCCTGAGTGTAACCCTTTCCCAAGGCCTGGCCAGCTCCCTCTCCGCTGGATCAAATGATAATCTATAGCTGGTTCAGTTTCTGCACATAGGGATTGATTCCAGACCCTGGGAGCCGTGTCTTGGAAGACTGGCAAGGAAGAGTCAAGGTCTTGGAAGCACAGATGTGTGGGGAGAACCTCGGGAGCACGAGTGGAACCTGTACACAGTGGTGTGAGGAGCCTGGGTACCTGAAGCTTTTCACCCATCAGAGGTCAACCTTGGAGACCAGCTCTCTCTGCTCAGATCCCCAATACCTAACAAGGGAATCACGGCCAGTGTCTCATTATCTCATTGCTGCACCCCAGCAACGGTTTCCAGGGGATCCTGGCGGCCACGGCCTCTGTCCCTCCTGGCCTCCTCGTAGCTGGGAGTCTTACCTGAAGCAGTGAGCTGCTGTGAGGACCCAGTGGGGATCCAGGATGCTCCCACCACAGACATGTTGCTTGTTGTACTGGATGCTGACCTGCCATGGCCAAGAATCCACAGAGGCCTCCACTCCACCCACTATACGAGGAGCCTTCAGGCTCTTTCCACATTCTGGACCCGGCCGAGAAAAAGGTAGAAGGGAGAAGTCAGGCTTCTGCGGAGTCTCTCCCCCAAAGCCCCGGAGCAGGGCCCTCAGGATTGGTACTGGATGGGGAGAACCCACCTATGCCATTGGTGGGTGGATCATTCACTGGAGGATAATGGACATGACGTCACAGGTATGCCTGACCACCCCCCTACTTTGTGTGTGTTTAGGAATTTAGATTTTTGAGTATGGGTATGTTCATTGTGCTTGCAATTTATCATCTTCAGAACAAACAAAGACGCAGAATCATGAATTCTGAAAGCCCTGACTAAACAGAACAGTCACCAGACGCTCCCCACTGAGTAAACAAACAGCCAGTTACAAGTTACTTTGGTATCAGGAAGTTAGATAAAAATTCTAGAAACTGGGTTTCTTCCTTCTGTTAAGGGAGGTTGCCCATTGGCAATCCTGTCTTCTTCTGACATATCTTTCACGTCTGACCTTTGAACTTGAGTTAAAATCTTCAGTGTCAGGGCTGGAGAGATGGCTCAGTGGCTAAGGTTATTAGGTGGTAGGTCCTTTAAGAGGCAGGGCCTAGTGACCCTTAGGTCATCAGAGTAGCCATTCTCTGAGGTGGATAAACATTTTTCTGTGTTCCTGAAATCTAGTGAGGATTTAGGACAAGACAGAGTCCACCCCTGAATTGTTGTCTGGTTTCTTGTTGCATCCACATTCCATAATGAGCCCCCAATCAGCATTAGGGCCCCACTCGAGGACAAACCAAGTTGACTTTCTGGTCTTAGACCTCCAGGTTCTAAAACTGTAAGCTAAGCAACACTCTTCTTGACAACATTATCCTGCCTCAAATATTTCATTACAGAAATAAAAGTCTAATACACTCAGGTCGTGGGCTGTGAGCAGAGGGTGGAAGAGAGTTCTTAGCATTAATCACTTGAAGGAATGCTGATCTGTAAGCCCAAACAGTGGGACCTAGTGACGAGGAGAGCAAAGAAGATGAAGGTCTTTCTTCCTGCCCACTGCTGGTCGAGGTCCCACACCCTCAGAGATGGGGTGTACTCACCCAGGCAGCTCAGGGAAACCAGAGAGCGGCAGGGCCTGAAAGAGAGACAGGCTGGAACTCAGTCCTTGTGACTCTGCTGATTTAACCCAGTCCCCTAGTCCTGGAGAACCCCAGGACTTCCATTATGGGCCTATGTAGAATTGCATTAATACTCAGTGGGTTCGATTTGACACTACATCCCGTTGCTGTGCATGCACCCTACCGTGTATGGAGCCCTGGCAGGACAAAGGCAGCCCTAGGTCGGAGAGAAGCAGTACGGGCTGTTGTGGAGCATTTAACTAGGCAAGGATGTGCTACATTTGTTTATACTGTGGAATATTACTTTAAGTATGTGAAGGTGTGTTACATTTGTTTCTGCTGTATTTGTTTCACCTTGCCTGCTTAAGGTACCTGATTGGTCTAATAAAAAACTGAACAGCCAATAGCTAGGCAGGAGAAGGATAGGCAGGACTGACTGGTGAGCAGAGAGAATAAGTAAGAGAAATCTGGGGGACGGGGGAGAAAAAGGAGAGAGGGGAGAAACACACACATGCACACACACACACACACACACACACACACACACACACGCAGACACACGCTTGAGATACGCTTGAGGCCAGAAGTCAGGCAGCCAGTCAGACATGAGAAGCAGTGAAAGTGAGATATACAGAAAGAAAGGTAAAGGTAAAAAGCCCTGAGGCGAAACGTAGAAGAAGAGAAACAGGTTAAATTCTAAGAGCTAGTGAACAAACATAAGATAAAGCCAAGCATTCATAACTATAAAAAGTTTCCATGTCATGATTTGGGAGCTAGTTGGTGGCCTAAAAGAAAGCCTGCTACAACTGGCTACCCTGCAGCCCTTTCAAACAGAACAGGATTTTGAAGGAATCACACAAATAGTCACTACCAGTCCTGTCCCTCTCCAGATGGGCTGTGGCAAGCATCTTTCCTGTATCCTGAATGCTAAGAAGACAGCTGCTCTTGGCCTCTGCTGCCTTGCAGCAGGGTTTGTCTGGATTTGGCTGTGCTCTAACACAGTGGTGGGGTGAGGGTGGAAGAGCCGCCTTGGGAGCATCAGAAGGTGCTGCTTTGGCCTGAGGGAGTTATGGGAAAGGACAACGCGCCTTTGGGGCTCTTGCCTACCAGGCAACTCATCAGGGAACATGAAGTAGCTGTGGAAGAAACAATCTTGACTGTTCAGACAGATACAAGGTCATTGATCATCCCTCTGCCTTTGAACAAGACAACGCACATTGTATTTTTTTTTTTTTTTAAAAAGAGTCAACAGATAATACCCTGTGAACCCAGCAATGGGATTCCATGGCCCTGGATGTTTAATTAGCTGCTTGGCTAGTTCTTCCTGTGTCTGGCTCCTGTTCTCTTTGCTGCAGCCACGACTGGCTTTCTGGTGGTAGTTAGCCTCTGTAGGTTAGGTGGTGTCCCTCACTTACCCAGTTAAATTCTTCGTCTGAAGTTCCCGGCTGTTTCCTGTGACTTGAGCTACCGTGAGATTCCGGCCTGGGACAATCTCCACCGCTCGGAAAGTGGGTTGACTGTGGAGGAAGAAAACTGTGAGTTGGGGCAGAGGCTAGAACTGGATGGCAGGGAAGACCCATCCTCGGGGGCGGGCGGGGGAGAAGCGGGCAATACAGGTGGGCTGGGTTAGTGGGCAGAGCTGGCTTTGCTGGATCACAGGAACGGTCCTGTGATCTTAGTCCAAGGCTGGCCGCTCTGGTCTTGCTTTCTTGGTACAGAGCCCAGAGCTCTGCAAAAGGGCTAAGGGCCCGCCTTCCTCACACCTAACTCTCTCCCTGCCTCAGATGCCCCAGCATCTCTTTAAGTTCACACCAGCGGGAACAAAGCAAAAGGTCCCAGAAAAGCTGTTGTCTTAGCACAGAGTGAACTGGAATGTGGATGTCTGGTTTTCTAGGAGACCTGATTTGTCTTCGATAGTGTTTTCAAGACAGGAGAAGATCCATTTTCTCACAGGAGTCTAGGTGGAATGTCCTGAAATTTGGACTGCCCTCTCCCTTCCCTTCTGCTAATCCATGTTTGTCTTCTTTCACACCCTGGATTTAAATCTTCCTCTTCCAGGAAGCCTTCCCTAATTACTCTGCTCTCTGGTTCTTTCCTCACCAACCTGCCTCTTCCAAATCTCTCCCCCTAGTACAAGCTTTGCATAGAGGTCTGGGATCATCTGGCTTGCTGATCCACACTCAGGTAGGAAGGCAAGCATCTTCCCGGGTGAACCAGGCTCTAGACCTGGGATGACAAGAGGCTGCTATCCTCAAGACCTAAGTTCTTATCTGCTGGCTGTGACACCAGCTTGGTGTGTGACCTTGGGTAGGTCTCTTTTGTCCCGTGGCTCCTTCTGAGTCCTGATTTTCTCCTCTATAAAATGATGCACGAGCCAGGGGTTCCTCCTACATTGGACTTCCTACGGTTTTGTGTTCCTAGGTAAGAAAGGCTTCCTTCCAATCCAGGCAGAGGAAAGAAACTAAAGAGACCTGAGCAGAGAGCTCCATCCGAGGAGATAGGGTGCTGGCGGCAAAGATACCCAGGAGAGCGAATATTTGCTCACCAAGTCCAGCCTGATGAGTAATTTAATGAACTCAGGGTTATCATAAAGCCCCAGAGGTCAGGCAGCTCCGTGCCCCGGTGCCCTCCAGAAAGGCAGACATTCTGGGAGGCTACCACCTTAAGAGCCGCAGGAAATCCTCCAGGTTTCATAACTGAGACAGCCTGCAGCATTTGGTCCAGCTGACACTGCAGTCAACTGGACTGCAGTGGAGGAGGGGCCAGTTGCAGGGGTAGAAGGGGACAGCAGGTGCTGGGCATGCCTCCTGCTGTCCTTTGAAATGAAGGTGACAGTGTCCCTTTCTGGGGGTGTTGGGAGTCCCCCTGGAGGGGAGAGAGCAGAAATTATAACCAGGAGACAGAGGGGCAGAGGCCAGATGAGTTCATACTGGCTGTCTTAAACATCTCTTGGACAAAACCTTGAGGCTGCTTTAGGGATCCATGGAGAGAACTCTGTGATCAACTGGCAATGTCTGTCTACTGGTCATCATTCCGGTCTTGTCTCTGGGCTCAGTTTCTTAGCGTCCCAAGGAAGTTCAGCTTGCCAGGGGAAGGGTAATCCCTCTTTGCCACAGAACACCCGGCTCCCGGAGGAGAAGTGATCAGTTCTCACTTCTTTCTCCACTGATAAAGCCTTGTGCGGAGAGAATACCCAATGCACAGACACGGAGAACTTGTGTTCAGAGAGCTGGGCAGGCAGATTCTAGTCCTCTACCTCCCAGCGTCTGCCTAAGCAAGCCACTTACTCTTTCAGAACCCCCTCGTAACACAGATTTAATAATAACTGTGCTCTGAGCTTTCTGCCAAGATCAAATGAATATAAATACATGTAATGCTAATTACCCTCCATGTCCCTTCCTTCCACTCCAGATTTGGACTTGCTTCTCCAGTTTGCTGAGAGCTGCCGCGGCTGCTGCTGCTGTGGGGCCCCAGCGGAATCAGGCTAGTCTTTGCTATTTTTGTTTTCCAGTGCTGGGAGTGGAACCTAGGGCTTTACATATGCCAGGCAAGTTCTCTACCACTGAGCTACACCCCCAGCCTTCCTTGCTAGATTTTAACCAAGAGTTAATTTGCATATGTAAATTAGACTTTGTGCCATGGTCGGGGATTTCTTACAAAAGGACAAAGCAGAGATAACTGGAGAAAAGGGCTCCATCCTCCTCTAGTGAGATTGGTATCGCTTCCTCTGGCTAGCTCTGAAGGAAACTGAAGGGGGGATTAACTTAACAACTTCTAAGTGCTGGGACTCACACATAGTTTTATATGAATCCCATGCCTGTATTTTTAGGGAGAAGGAAGGAAGAGAGTAGGGGAGGGAGGGAGGAAGGAAGGACAAACAGAAGGCAGGCAAGAAGGGAGCAGAGGCTGCTGGGTTGAGGTGATAGCCTCCTATAGCTTTGGTTGGGTACCTGTCATAGCCCATCTGCCTGCAGGCTGTCTTGGCCAGTGCTTCTGTGAAGTTGTCAAAACAGGCAGAGACCCAGGTCCCTGTGGCTACATCCAGCACCTGCAGAGTTGATCGGTCCTTGGAGAGGCGGACTGGTAGGGAAGGAGCCTGGGTCAGCTGGAGTGGGGAGCCTCTCTAGCCCAGCCCCCCTCCATTGCTGCTGCTCCCAGCCCAGAACTGAGGACATGTTCAACATCAAGGGAAAGTTCTTCCAGTTGACTGGAGCCTAATTTGGATGGCAGCTAAGGGGAAGCCTGGCCAGCTGCCCAGGGACAATGATTGACAGGATCTCCTTTTGCTCGGAATTACTTGACCATGGGCCACACAGCTTGCCCAGTTTGGGGAAACATCTCAGCCAGGGATCTGGTAGCTTCTCCAAGGAAGGTCAGAGAGAGAGAGTTTAAGTAAAAATTTCTATTGTTGTTAGCAAGGCAGGAGCCCATGGGCATTTGACTTTACTAAATTACCAGTCAATATACAGGAAGTCACTCAGCCCTGCCCCTCAAAGGGTCTCATTACCTATCTTTCAGGCTAAGTGTTAGTGGGTCAGACCAAGCTAGGCGATCCTGGATTTTATGCTTGAACGTTTGTCTCTCCAGTGATCGTCTTCCATCTTGTTCCCTAGCATGTTCAGCAAACACTGTGAGTGCAAGGGTGGCTAGCTGGTTAAATGACATGACGGCCATGATTCTAGTCTCACTGAGATTCCAAAGAGGAACTGTAGCACGAATAATAAAACCCAGAGATATTGGGGTTCATCTTGAAAACCAGAAAAGCAAAGCAGCCAAACCACTAGAGAAGGCTTACCTTTCCCAAGGCTGGGCGACCTCAGACTCAGCAGACTAAGCCTCTCTATCCTCCCATTTTGTATTCCCTCTAGTGCTGGGATTAAGTGGATGTGACTTCCTAGGACTGGGATTAAAGATGTGAACTGCCACCACCCAGATTTGTTTCTATGTTGATGTTGTATAGCCCAGGGTAGCCTTGAACTCACAGAAATCCATTTGCCTCTGTCTCCCAAATTCTGGGGTTAAAGACGTGTGTCACCATTACCTGACCTCTAGTGGCTTTAGCCTTGTCTCTGGTCTTCAGGCAAGATTTATTTACTAAAATACAAATAATATGCCAGTACAAGGAGCCCTCCAAGGCCAGGCTCTCTATTCCTCTTGTCCAAACCAAGTAGGTACAGCCAGCATAGCATTGGCCATACTTTCCTGTCTCCTCCGTGCCATGAATTAACCCTTTTTGAATGTGTGCCCTCTCCCAGTGTTGGGATCTACAGGTAGACGTGCCATGATCCTGCTCCTGGGACCTTTTCCAGCAGGACTAGAAACTGACAAATGTGGGCAGAGGCTATAACGGAGCCCAGTTCTCCCACCGTGCCTGCCCTTCAGTCTCGGGACTCACCTGCCACGCCAGGCTTGTCAGGGAAGTCTTTGACACAGTGCTCTTCATCCTCCCCCGAGGCACAGTCAAGGCGGCCGTCACACACCTGCCCCCTCGGAAGGAAGGTCAGGGGACTTCTGCAGATGAAGTAGTGTTTATCCAGAACCACCTTGACTGGAAGGCATGAAGCAGGGGCAGAGACGGTCAAGCAGGCAGAGAGAGGCTGCTTTTCCTGAAAGTCAGGCTGGCTGGAGACAGGTAGCCAATTTGAAAAATAAATTTTTATTGCCTGTGGTGGTGTGTGTCTGACTGGAGGTCAGAGGGCAACCTCTGGGAGTTGGTTTCAGGTGTTTTACTACAATCACGGGAAGTTGACTAACGTAGCCACATCAGGTTGGGCCAATGTTGAGAAGAAATGATTTGGGGGTTTATACATCTCACAAACACCCCAGGCTCTCAAGGATGGAGGTGGTGTCGGAGTTGGGGATACCCATCGTTACTCTGATGAGGACCTGCTCAGCTGGAAAACTTGGATCCTGCCTGTGCCAGTCTCTGTGGACTCCGAGCCTCAGTGCCCACGTGTGGAATAAAGGGTTAAAGTAGAGGGTCTCTGTGTGTCAGCCAACACCTTCCGCGCGTTGTGTCTGCTGCTAGTGTGGATGGCCTCACAGCCCTAAGTAAGACCGCCATGGCCGGGTTATGCAGGCACTGCCTACCCTGGGTCCCAGCTCTGCCTGTTACACACTTTCGGCTTTTAATCCAGGTTCTTCACACAAGGAAGCTCATTACTGCTCATGATGCCCAAAGGCATTTCATCATAGAGAGGACTCAGTAGACTTCGTGGGCTCACAGGTTCGAAGGATAGAACCGAGATCCCCACCCCTGATTCCTAACCTTGTCTCTTATATTCTGAAATTCCCTGCCGTGAAATCTGGGGTCAGTCCCTGTGGTAACCGTGGGAATCATTGTCACAGAGTGGGCTGCCCCAGATCGCATCAGAGCTAATGCGCTAGCCATAGTGAAGACTGCGCTGAGGTGGGCAGAGGGTTCCATCTGCCTGGCCCTCTTCCCTGGTACCGCCTGTCCCTCTCCTCTTTATAGGCAGAAATGCTCTCTAGCCTGCCAGACAGTGTAGAGTTGCACAGACGCCCTGTTCAGCCCCACCCCACCCTGCCCCTCCACCAGCTGTCAGTTTGCAGAAGATCGGAAGGAGGCGGCTGGGGGTGGGCACCTCTGCAACTGCCTGAGTGCCACGTGGATAGCAACCATCTGGAAGAGAAGCCATCTGGGAGAACTGGGGGATGCGCTCACCTTCCCCTTCCCCTTAGAAGCCTCCCTCCAAGGCAGGGGTGGGCACATGAGGCATACGGATTCATTCCCTGCTCCCAAGCATTGCGTAGATCACCTGCCTATCACTGTGGGGGTGGGAGGGTGGGTGAGGGCTGTGGCTTACTGAGGGGGTGAGGGTGAGAGTGGGGGCTGTCACTCACTGAGGAAGGCTACAATCACGATGGCCATCAGGCTCAGCAGCACTGCGATGATGGGGATCCCCACCTTTTTGAAGGTCTCCAGGGACCTGCGGGGTTTGCGAAAGCCAGGAATATCTGCAAGGGCAATGAGAGAGGGGAGGAGAATGAGTCAGGCCTCGGAGCCCAGCCCTGCCATGGCTCATAGTCTTCTTCTTGCCCCGGGCCTGCATCAGGATGCCCTGGTGATGGTTTTGGCTGGTGGGGATTATCCCGATAGGCAAGGCTGAGATTTATGAACATGTATTCACCCACTTCCCCCTCCCTTGCCCAGATTTACCGGGTCTTTTGTAACTGCTTCTCAGCTGAGCTGGCAGCCTGTGCCACCTCCTCTTGTCTTGCCCTAGTTTGTGCAAGAGGATGTCACTCTTGCCTTGTCTGACCTGTCCCTGGCCTGGGAAGGGTCCAAGCTCACTAAGCATGTACTTGGGTCCCTGCCATGATCTATATGTTACGTTATCATTTCCCTTCCCTATTCTTGAATATATTTTTAATTGACACATACTTGTAAGTATGGACTATAATATTTCAACATAAGTATGTAATACATAATAAGATCAGGATAATTATTTTATGTGTGTGCGTGTTGAGAACATCCAGAATTCTCTCACTGGCTCTTTTAGAACATCAAATGTCATCAGCTGCGGTCGTCTCCACTTCCCCAGCGCTACAGAACATTGGTGCTTACTCCTCTTATCCAGTTGCTTCTCTGATATATATTTTTTTTTAAAGCAGGAGACTAAGACCATGTAGCTCAGGCTAGCCTCATGCTCTATATGTAGACAAGGATGCCCATGAACTTCTGCTCCTCCTGGTGCTGGAATCAGAGGCGTGTACCACCACTGGTTTCTGCAGTGTTGGGGACGGAACCCAGGATTTTCTGTACCCCAGGCAAGCATTCTACCGACTGAACTGCACCCCCAGTCCTCTGCCTTCACTTTTTGCCTCCCCACACAGTGAGCATGTAGCAGAGGCCTGCAAATTCCTCATGAGTGTATGTATCATGATGTTCCCATCTCCAGGTTAGTCCAATACATAGTGAGGCCCCAATGTGGTCCTTGTTTTTAAGGAAAGTAGAGTCTGGAGAAGAGGCACACAGGACACAGATGACAGCCCGCCAGGTGGAAGAAGGTGTGTGCTGAATTATAGACACCACTTGGGGAAGGCTGGGGAAAGTTTCCTGAGTACTTCAACACAGGAAGAAGACAGGAACAGAGGCTCTGGGCCGGTTCAGACACAAGCATGGAGGGTGTGTGTGTGCTGTGAGTGTCTAGTGTCCTGGAATACAGGTCGGGAGGGGGCAAAGCCTGTTGGGAGGCAGGACAACAAAGTCATTCTGTGGAGACTTGAAAACCACGCTAGGGTTTGGCATTTGTCCTGAAGGCAGTGAGGGGCCATTGAAAGTTTTGAACAAGAGAGAGTACGTGATTGGGCTGTCATCTGGGGAGAGCCTTTGCTTGTCTAGGAGAAGAGGGTTGGAATGAGTTTGGGACCAGGGAGTTCACACAGGAGGCTACCATCGCCTAAAATTTGTAAAACAAACAAACAACTACACACCCACTTCAGACAGTGTCATATCTGAATTTCAAACAATGCAACAGGCTTATAGTTCTCTATGTTTGGTTCCCAAATGGTGGAACTATTTTGGAAACTTCAAGGAACTTGGGAAGGTAAGGCTTAGCTGGAGGAAGTAGATTCCCCAAGGCTGTATCTTTGGGAAGCTATTTTCTTCTCCTACTTTTTATTTCCTTTTATGTACCCTGTTTTCTGCAACATCCTGTGAATGGCTGCCACACCCTTTCCCACAGGGTGCACTGAAACATTTTGGAACTGTTTCAAAATGAGCCCCGTCTCCATGAAGCTGTCTGTACCAGGTACGATGGTCCCAGGGGCACAGAGAGCAAATACACACGGCAATCCAAGGAGATGAAGCGTAACAAGGCAGAGAAAAGCTCTGTGTCAGCACCACAGATAGGTACTGGGTCTTTTCAGGTTCTTTCCTTCAGGCAATGAACTTGGGAGGTGTTTTGGGGACCTTGCTCCCGAGGGAGCTGGGTAAAAAACACAGCAACTCCGGAAATCTAGAAAGCAGTAGGCAAGCCGTCTTGCTCTCACCTCCACATGGCTACCCCCAGTCTCTTTCAAACCCCTCTTCTCCATCTCCTTCCTGTGAGCCCATTCTAGAACTTCCTGTTCAAGATGCAACCATCCCACGCTTCCCATTCCCCCTTGCTCGTTTTTCCCCCAAAGCACTTATCTCTGACCTACTTTCAAACGTTTTGTGTCTTTTCTCTCTCCTCCCACCCCTCCCTGAAATGGAAATGAAGCCACCATGAAGACCATCTTGTGCATTGCTGCATCTCCAGTGCCCAGAGTCTGTCACACGGCAGATGCCCAGTGAGTGTCCATGAAATGGGAAATGATCCATTCTTGACTCTGTTCTCCTCAGCACACCCCTGTCCACTTAGCTCTTGCTTTATTCTACCTCAGACAATATGAGGCCTGTGCCAGGCACCACCCCCTTTCTTCTGCTCCTCGGAAGCTGAGGCTGGCGTCTATTAGAGACCAGTACCCCATAAACGATGGTATCAATGATTGTCAGTAAGAAAGCTCAAATTTAAACTGGCCGGTGGTGGAACACGCCTTTAATCCCAGCACTCGGGAGGCAGAGGCAGGTGGATCTCTGTGAGTTTGAGGCCAGCCTGGTCTACAAGAGTGAGTTCCAGGACAGGCTCCAAAGCTACAGCTAAATCCTGTCTTGAAAAACCAAAAACAAACAAACAAAAAAAAGAAAAGAAAAGAAAAAAGAAAACTCAAACTTTGTGCTTCCCTAATGGGAAATTTTAAGAGCACAGTGGCCCAGCAGTGGGGATGTGAAGATGAAGTGGTATTGACTGTAAATTTTTAGGGGCCTGACACAAAGCAGGTCATCAAGAAATAATGCTAGGTAGTCCTGTTTTTTTTTTTCTTTTAGTTTTTCGAGACAGGTTTTCTCTGTGTAGCCCTGGCTGTCCTGGAACTCACTCTGTAGACCAGGCTGGACTCAAACTCACTAAGATCCACCTGCCTCTGTCTCCCGAGTGCTGGGATGAAAGGCATGTGCCACCACTGCCAGGCGGTAGTCCTGGTTTTAATGCTTCCGCACTAACTCTTCCGAATTCTTCTGTTTCTGCGGCACCGAAGCATAGCATTTTTTTCAATTATTCTTTGCCTGATCTGTTCCTTGGACACCTGCTTCTGGGGACAGGACATTGATTTGTTTTCTTGGATAGTGAACTATCTGTTGGAAGGAGTCACTTGCTACGTGTCCAGGCTGTTCTCAGGGAAGACCTGCCTCCCTCCTCAGGAAGGGATGGGGTTTCACAGTTAACTCAGGTTCATAAATAACCTCCCAGCCTGTGGTTGTTCCTTCTGTCTGTTTGTCCTGCCTATTGCTTCAAGATGAAGTTTCCAGGAAGGTGGCTTTTACTCTGTCCCTTTCCTCTTGAGTGACAATAATGGCTCCTGTCACACTCACTTCTGGACTTCGCTACTCTGAACCTTCTAAACGGTGTGATGAGCCTCATTTTCTGAGCTAGTTTCAGCACCAGGCCCCACCCCAGCACCTAGTCACCCGAGGAAGGTTGACTTCCTGGTGTTATTCCTGACTTCTGACTCTCAGGAACTCAGATTCCTCCCCTCCCCTTTCCCTCCCTTACCCTGGCTGTTGCTAGGTGACTGTCTAACTAGCCTGGTTTATACAGCCAGCCCCCACCACTGCGTCCCAGGGCTTTCCTTTCAGTTTCCTTCCCCACCAGGTGTTTGGGGCCCATTCAGCTGTGTCCTGGTTTCACAGTTCTCGGGTTTGTTCATTGGCTGAGGCACACACAGGAAGAGCCACGGGAAGCCTGGAGCTCTCTGGGGACCTTGTGGTCTACTGTTAGGTTAAACTACAAAGTACAAAGGAGGCCCTGTTTCTACTTAGCTGAGTTATTGTTTCTGACAACTATTAACTTGTGATGCAAATGAGATGTTAACCTGAGAGGGATGAAGCCATTGTCTTCTGGATTTGTTCCCATTAATTTGTTCCCTGTTCATTTGCGGTGTAGAGGCTATCGGGAGTAGGCGACAATGATTTAAGAAAATAAACTAGGAGGGGGCAAAACCCTTAAAATTGGGAGTGTTCTATTTATTCATTCATCTTCTTTAATCAGGGGTTCACAGCTACTTCCTTCCCTACCAGTAAAACACCAGTGCCCAGCATTGAGCCTTGGACACCTGCTTCTGCGGACACGAGGTTGGGTTGCTGCAGCCCAATTCTGTGCAGCTCAGGGCCAGACACAAAGAATAGATTGGGGGAGTCGCTGTTCTTGGCCTTTTGGGCCTGCTGGTCATATTTCCTCAGAGGCCAGATTTTTTCTAGAACAAGTCCCAGAACCTATGAATACTTAGTACTTTTTGCTGGATGATGGACGGACAGGGGATTGATGTCATGCATAGCATCGAGTACTACGGTGGCCGGGTAGCCGAGATTCAGCCGAGGGACCTGAGCTTACCATGGTTGTTCAGGGGCTGGCCACTGTCCCGATCCTGTAATTGAAGGAAAAGGGCAAAGTTAGTGAGGGGACCTCTGGGACCCAGACTACCAGTGCCTGCTTCCCAACTGTAAGTATTCCTTTTTTTTTTTTTTTAAATGATTACGTCCCACAGTAGATCTGCTGAGCCATCGAAGCATAGATCAGCCTGTGTTTAGTATCAGTGGATGTGACCACAGCATTGCTACAGTTTATACATCACCAGCAAGTACTTCATGTAATGGATGGATGAACTGACTGATGGATCCACAGCACAACAACATTACTGGGAAATGGTGAAAGTTTGGAAGTGGAGCCTCACTGGAGGAGTTAGCTCATGGAGGCAAGTGCCCAGAAAGGGTATCTAGCCCCAAGGTTTCCTTGTGCTCTTTTCCTCATCCTAGTAGCCTAAAAAGTGAGTCAATTTTCACTCCTAGTCCCTCTTGCCTAAGTACATGCAGCCAAGTAACTTCTGGCTAGGCCCTCTGAATCTGTGAGCCAGATCAGTCTTTCCTCCTTGAGGTTGCTTCTGTCGAATACTTTCTCACAAGAACAAGAGAGTAACCAATACAAAGCTCGTACTAGATGCAACATCATAGATGAACTTCATGACATTCTGGTGAAAGAAAGAACTAAATACAGCAAAGTATGCGTTGTTTAATGACACTGTTACAGAATTAGGAGGTAAAGTTTAGGGGTGCTAGTAGTCAGAACAGGGGTTGCTGCTGGGAAAGTGGGGTGGTTATAGGAAGAAGCACAATGGAATGTTCTGGAATATTGAGAAACTTCTAGAACTTGTCGTGGGTGTTGGCTATATGGTGTTTACATATGTTAGACCCTCTCTGAGAGGAGTATTTCCTGAGTTGTTTGCTGCATGTGGAATATACGTAATAAAACAGGCAAGCTCAAACAAAAGTCTACCAGGATACTAGGACATTTCTTTGTTCTATAGTGACACACTTGCACAAACACACGCACAGGCATTTCCTGCATTGCTTACCCACTTCCCACGTGCACTCAATGCACACACAGTTGTAGAGAATCAATTGGGGGAGTTGCCTATATAAAGGCTCACATGCAAAGCATGCTTACTCCTTTTCCTACAGGTAAGGGTCAAAGGGAGGCTGATACCCAGGTTCCCATTTGAAGGGTGATAAGGGCCAAGGAAAAGCACTCTGACCCCGTCTTGACCCCATGACCAGGGCTTGGAATCACCCAATCCCTGAGCTTGCCACAGAGTCAGGCTGCAGAATCCCACCAATCCCTGAGCATAGAATTCTACCAAACCCTGAGATCCCTAAACTCCCAATGCCGCCAATTCCTGAGTCTGCCCCAGAATCAGGCCACCAAAATGCACCAATCCCAAGCCACCTTGGAATGTTCCGCTCCTCAAGAAATTCTATGTAAGGTCTGTACCCTGTTCAGTTTGCTTTTGTTTCTTTCTTTTTTTAAATATTTATTTATTTATTTATTATGTATACAATATTTTGTCTGTGTGTATGTCTGCGGCCAGAAGAGGGCATCAGACCTCATTACAGACTGTTGTGAGCCACCATGTGGTTGCTGGGAATTGAACTCAGGGCCTCTGGAAGAGCAGGCAATGCTCTTAACCACTGAGCCATCTCTCCAGCCCCTTGCTGTTGTTTCTTACAACAGCCACCCTCCTTCCTTCCCAATAAATCTTCTGAGTGGGGTTTGTTGTGTGGTGTGACATTTTCACTGGCCTGAAGACCAGCTGTAACAGCTTTTGCTGAAGCTGGAGCAGAGCAGAATTGTAACTCTTTCACTGGGGAAACCTTCCCCTAGTGGAGCAGAGTTGTTACACTCATGGGGGACCTGAGCAGAGCGGTAACAACTTTACCAGGGAAACCTTCCTCCACCTGGGCGGAGCTGTGACACTGGGGAAACCTTTCCCTAAAGCAGGGTTGCAAGCCCCTAAGCTTACAGTGACTTTATGGTACTCCTTGGCTCCCAACTGCCAGAATACTTTTCCATCCTGGTTGCAATGCTTACACCATTCTCTGAATACTTTCTAACATCTCAGAACCTTCCTGATCTTTCTGTTAAGGTCTGGTAGAGGATAAGGAGTCCCTGAGCTCTGTCTGAACTTTCAGCCTCTACCTAGGGTCTGGCTTGCTAATACTGTACGGAGGTCATGGATATCCAGTGATGATGGGAGGATGTTGGACATTTTCTACTGGGGACTTTTCTGGTCCTGATTGAGAGTAAAAGGCTTCTTCTAAAGCCTTGAATGTGTGGGAATCCTAGGGTGGTTTTGGGGACATACCTGCTCTCATGATTAAACATGGAACCCCAGTGATGGGAAGGGAGCTCCTTCCTGCTTTCCGTTCCTTCTACATTTGGGTCTGCAATCTGCTGGAGGGGTTTTGCCCTTTGATGTCACTACAGATGGCTGGTACAATGTCCACAGGCTCTGGTTCCTATGATTGGTGCCTTTGGGCAAGAAATAAAGGGAGCTTTCCAGTGGCCAGCTCACACCTGGGCAGCTCTTCCTGTCTGCCCATCCTCTGTGGTTCCGCAGGCCTTCTCTGTTTGGACAGTCATCATTTCTTGGTCTTTGTCTCTTTCTGTTTCTTTTTTCTTTTAAATTTTATTTAGCATTGACGAATAAAAATTGTATTGATCTTGGGGGCTAGAGAGATGGCTTTGTGGTTAAGAGCACTGACTGCTCTTCCAGAAGACCCAGGTTCAGTTCCCAGCACCCACATGGCAGCTCACAACTGTCTGTAAACTCCGGTTCCAGGGGATCTGGCACTTCCACACAGACAAACATGCAGGCAAAACTCCAAAGCACATAAAATAAAATGAAAATCTTAAAAAAAAGAAGAATAAAAAAATTGTATTGGTCTCTTTTCTAGGTTAAACATTTGGCTTGTGCCTACAAAAGACTACACTGGTCTCTAGACTTTGCTCAGTCCCCGTTTCTCCTTGGTCATCACCAGGCTGGACAGAGAGGACGACTTTCAGAATGAAGATGAGAACAGACCAGGGTACCTGGCTCTGCAGCTACTTAGTCAGGAGATAACAATATCAACAGCAGTGCACGCACAAACTGGCAAAGTCTTTTCATTTAACTTAGAACCAGATTAATAAATGCTGAAACTGAGCGTGTGGTAATCAGAGTGGTTAGCGTTAAATTAGCTAAAGTAAGTAGAGGTATGAGGAGTGCCCATTCTGTGCCAGGCCTTGATCCAAAAAGGAACTGGAGTCAAAGATCAATTAGCAGACTGGGAGAGGTGCCCAAACCAGACAACTGAGTGCTGTATCCCTTGGAGGGCCTGGGGAGCATGAACTGCCCCAGAAAATAAGCCAGGAACAGAAAACCCCACAGGTTTGGGGACAACTTTCAGAGGAAAGCGGATGGAGAAGAGGGAATGTCTGGATGGAGACAGAGTAAGGGTCAAGTGTCAGAACAGTTAGGGAGGGTCTCCCTGGAGAGGACACGTCTGAACTGTGACTGAAATGAAGGAAAGGGGCCAGCAATCCAGAACAAGTGTGAGGTGAGGGAGGAGCTACATAGAAGTTGGCAAGTTTGGAGGGGAGGCAAGGGTATAAGGGAAAGGGAGGATTCTGTACGCGTTTGGAAGATTGAGACTGGCTTTCCCAGTGGGCTGGGTGCCTTTGGGCTTTGGTTAAGCAGGGCAAGGTGTCTGCTGGAATGTGGAAGGCCAGAGGAGGTAGTAGGGTACCAAGAGCATCTATTCAGTGGACTGCTCCCCTCAGTTCATCCTTTTTCATGGCTTCTACCTGTGCATACACGCCTGCATTAGTTAAGGTAGGTAGGATGAGGTCCCTTTGTTTTTTACTAATTCAGCAGGCATTGACTGTACCCATGATGGGCAAGAGATTATGCTAGAAGCCTAGACACAGAAAGAACAAAGAAAATGTTCAGTCCACACCTTTCTCGGCCTTGGGCGTTTACTGTGAGCTGAAGTGGCCTGAAACCTCACGGTGGGCAAAGCTTCTGACTGCAACCTACTTAGTTGTGGACGTCCAAACGTTCAGAACTCATTTGTAAACAAAGACAGAAAAAAGAGAGGGAAGTCAAAGTTGCAAGTTGCAATCTTAAAGGACCGTGACTGTCGTGTTTGTCACACATCCAAACTCTCCTTCAGTGCATGGGGTCGAGTGAGCGCTGAAGAGCTCTGGGTGAGTCAGTTAACGAGTCTATCTCAGGTTTAAGACTTGTCTTGGGACAGCCTTTAAGAATCTGCCTGTAAATATAGTCATACAATAAAATATCACACGGAAGTCAAAATAAACGAACTACAAGTCATATCAAATAAAAATGAAGCATATACAACCGAATGACAAGGGCAAAGTCCCAACAGGTTCCATTGTAGCTCAGAATCCTTTGCGGGAAGAAGCAAAGCAATGACCGACATGGGACCTTGGGGTGGGCAGATCTTCCCTCGGCAGAGGGCCTTTAATACCGTTCCTTGTTAGTAAAGAGGTGCAGTGCAGTCAATTTTTGTTAACTTAATAAGCAGAGACTTGTCCTCCTATCGCAGCAGGGGCATGCGTGTGCATGTGAGAGGCAAGGGGGATCTGATATAGAGGTTACTGCTAAGTCCAAGTTTTTGTGTAGATGCATGGAAGCTTACTATCTTCCTGAACCAAGCGACTAGCTAGCGAGTTACTAATGAACCCTGTGTGGGTCAGTAGTGAAGTGTGAGCATAGACCAAGGGCGCAGCCTAGCCAACGCTGTAGCTCAAGGTTCTAAGAGACTAAAAGGCTGACACCTGCCTGCGATTTGGAGAGCCCGGCTCCTGTCCTCATGGTGCTACGCTGTAGCCTCTAGTTCTCCCATTTAGTGGCTCATTCTCTGCCCTTTCTTGAAGCCTCTGGACAAGCATCTACGACAGAGAGAGGTTGGAAATGTGAGGCTGTCAGACTTCCAGGAAGCAGAGATGCTGCAGACCATGGGTATCAGGGCTGGTGGTCGATGGGATGGGGGTGTTGTAGGACTGAGTGGTGATTGCAGACTATCAGTGTTAGAGACATTCTGGGGAGAGCCGAAAGAAGGACCGAATGGTGCTCCTATCCCCTCCCAGCCCAGGTTCAGTCCTGAACTGGGGAGAGGTTGAGGTTGAGACATGTAGGTACCACGTGGAACTCAGAGATCCCACCAGACCCCACCACGGCAGGCCCAGTAGTGCTCAAGGATGCAGAATGGAAAGAAAGGGTCTCTAGAGACCACTCTGGATCACTGTCCCTGAAGTCAGACAGAGGAAAAATATTGCCCTAGAGTCAGAGAAGAGCGAATTTTGAAAAGCAACCAGAGACCAATCATGGCTCCTTCATTGTAGAAATGTCTCTGGTTATGCTCAGCTTATACTTAACCTCTTGAACTGGTCACGTTACCACAACGCAGTCCCTGTATAACCCAAGGGATGTTGCCAGGCTTCCCCTTTCTGTCAGGACTGCTGGCTGGGCCCGGCCCCCTGATTTGTTGATTCAGATGGTACAGAGCTCCGACTTGTGGGTCCCATTCAGTCTATGCTCAACTTAGGGCTCATCTGGAACAAAGCTTGTCCTGGCTGGAGTACAGCTGAAGGTGAGAGTGCCCAGATCCTCGGTGCCCAGGTGGGAACAGGATGGAGGATGGATGGGTGGATGAGTGATGGTTGAAAGACACTTGCCATTACCTGGCTAGCTCAGAGCATCTTCCTGCCTTGTTTTCCAGTCGCCCACTGACAAAGAACAGCATTAACCTGGAACCCGCCCGCAAAAGCTGAATGCTTGTTTGCAACATCTTCCTTTCAAAGGTGCTATTACAGTCAATCTTTGGGAAACCCAGAGACATCCTCACTTCACAGAACTGGAAGTCGAAGCTCACATCCATGAAGTGACTTATGTGGCTTCAAAGCAAGGGAAGGGCAGACCCAGCTCTCCAGGCTGGGCTTCTAGAGTCAGGGAACTACCGGCTTCATTTCCTGGCAGTTTTAGGGACCTGTGCGGTTGAGCATCTTTGGGGGGTAGTGCTCCCTTTAGAGTCTCTACCTTTCTGCAACGTGGTCTTGTTGCTCCTGCTTAGCCTGCGATCAACCTGCAGAGATCACCCTTAGTATCTCCACAACCCTTCCATGGTTGCAAGGCATTAGACACTAGACTTGCTTCCTAGGTTTGCCAAAACCTCTATAAATGGTGATGGGAGCTGTCTCTCCAAAATCATATAAATAGCAGGGCCTTGGTGTCCAGGAGTTAATGTCCAATGTTCATGTTACCATCACTTCTTCCATCTTCTACCGCATTCACCCTTGCTCAGCTATGGTTCCTCCCTCTCTCTGTGTTTTAAATCCTGGAGAAGTTCCTGAGCTTACCTGAGCTCCAAATATTGAATGGTTCAGTCAGAGACAATTCCCCAAGACACCAGGCAGTTTTCTTTATTTTGGGAGGGAGGAGAATTTTTGAGACAGGGTTTCTCTGTGTAGCCCTGGCTGTCCTAAAACTTGATTTGTAGATTAGACTGGCCTCAAACTCACAGAGATTTACCTGCCTCTGCCTCCTGAATGCTGGGATTAATGGCGTGTGTCACCACCACCCAACTTTTTCATTGAGCCTATTTTTTAAATTCAGAGACACCACAAAGAGATAGCCAAGGGCGTGTGACTTCCTCCTTGCTGTACCTCTAGGCTGCTTCATCAGGCCACTGGGAACTATCTTCCAGAGATGGTGAAGTACTTGATTATTTCACAATGGAAGGGCCAGGGCCTGTAATGAAGAGGCCCAAGGGACAGAGCCGAGCAGATCCTTCGCCTTGCTGAAATCTCTGCAGCTCAGACATTGCCTTGCTCTGAGAAGAGGCTAGCAGAACTGACGAAACAGAGCTGGTGATGAGAAGGACAAACCAGAGCACCGAGAGGCTGTTTCTCTGGCTTTGCTTTTCTCTGTGGCAGCTGCGGGGTCCCATGAGGAGGGCTCTGGCTTTCCTTGATCTCAGAGGGAAACCTGTTGCCAGGTGATGGGTAAACAGGCCCTCCGAGGCTCTTTGCTTATACAGCTAGGTTGCCAAGGCTAGGGACAGAGTGACGGGGACACCCCAGGGAGAGGTGGGGATGCTTTGTGAGTGAGCCAAGAGACCTGGGGCTGCTCACAGTTAACAAGAAGAGCAAGTCTTGACCACAGCCAGCTCAGGTGTTCAGGGGGCTCTCTAGGTGGCCTTAAGCCACTTTGACCCCTGAACCCTCAGTCCCACTGCCAGCAGGCATCTGCTTTCCACCTGCTGCAAGGCAGGCAGTTTGATGCCTTTATCAGGCTGGAAACAAGACTCTGTCTCTTGGGCGCCTCCACAATGGCAGGTAAGGCGGCGAGAAGTTTATGGAGGGGCTCTCCATCACCAGGCCAGGGAGGGGTTGCTGAGATGGAGCAGTTCAAGGTGCATGCGGGGTTTCAGTGGCAACAGCCATACTGGCTTCCAAGTGGTCCGTATCCTGCGACCCTGTTTTCAGGATGTCTATCCAGCAAAGCAGGCTAGGCACCCGCTCTCGCTATAGGAGCAGCCGTCTGTACCATGGGTGCAGGCGCCCTCCCAGAAGTCTACTTTCTATAACCTAACCTCAGTCCAGCTGCTACATTAGAAACCACTGTGCCTTGTAATAAACCACATAGGTGCTGACCTGCTGGCAATTTGAGTAGAGAACCTCACCCCCATTCCAAGGTATAATAGCTACAGGGCAAGGCCTGGGGCGGGAGGCAAGTGTCAGGTGACCCACCTTTATCCTGCTGCCAGCCCGCGGCTCAGCTCTGGCATTTAAGAATCAACCTTTGTGTTACAGCAAGACTCTTAATGCAGGCAGGACTTGGGGAGGGTAGAGAGGCAAGGATCCCTGTTTCAGGGTGCAGGAGTTAGAAGCTCTCCACCCTTAACCTATAGGACAGGACAATGAGAAGGCCAGGGGTGAGGCACTAGCGAAGGACTCTTGAGTGGAGTGGACCGTAGACACCCTGGCTTCCTGGGGAGGCCCTATGCTCCCGATGGCGCTGCTGTGAGCTCTCTTGCATGTTCCCGAAACCCGGGGGAAGCAGTCCGTTCTCTCCTACATTTCTGAATTCTTGACTATTCTGTTTTGCCCAGCTCCACACAGAATTTTTGTGTCCACTTTCTCCTTCTGACAGGGCCAGATAAGAAGAAGGTGTCTTGGGCGCTTGCTTGCTGGGGGCAGACTAGAGCTTAACGGGGTTCTCTAAACACTGTATTTGCCAGAACCAGGTAGCTGCCACCTGCAATGCAGTCTGATGGTTATGAAAGAATTCCACATAGTTAACGCTGTTTTTAAAGACATACTGCCTTTGCCTGTCCTGAATTGTCCCTTAAATATTTAGGGGCTGGAAGTGGTGGCAGGGGAAGAGGGGATTTGCTATTGAAGGGCCTGACTCCTCTACTGAGCTCCTAAGCAACCTTGAGCAGTTCTCAGTGTCTCCGGGGCCCAGCGTCCTCCTTTGCAATGTATGTATAACTCTAACTCCCTGTCATGACTGACAGGGAGAAAGGCTCGGCAGAAACACTCCACCTGCTGGGTGTTGTGCGCCTTTCCAAGGCTGCTGGGACTTCATCTTGTCCTCTCATGATCTCATTGTTATTTATGGTCCCCTTGGTTGATCTTTGCGGTCTGGAGGGTCTCAGAGGCTCTGGTGGGGATGGGGTCCTCTGTGACTATTCTTCCTAAGCAGGCGTGATGGGCTGGCTCCCGAACTGTCACACGCTGTTCAAGTTCAACACCGAGGTTCTCTCCAAGGGCAGAAGGGAGCACTCTGTTTCGTTCTGGATGCCTCAGGGACAGCCACCGCTGCACACAAGTTTAGCTGCTGCTGCTGATCTGCCCGCAAAAGACTTGGTGACTCCTTGATGGCTTTCCTGGGAACTCTGAACTCGAGAACCTATAAATAGCGTTCCGGTGGTTCTTCCGGGACCTCTCTGCATTATTACTTCGATGTTGCATAACCTGGCATTCTTCTCCCACTTCCCTGCCCACTCACATAACTCTGCAAGCGCTTTGGAAGTTTCTCCTTGCCGTGATGTCTCTGCTAGGAGAGGCATTTTGGCAGTAGATGGAGCACAGGCCCTGCCATCCTGCCACCCGGGTCTGAAGCCCACCTCTGTGCACAAGTGTTGACCACTGAGAGCCTCAATTGTGCACATGTGTGCGCACGCATGTGTGTGTGTGTGTGTGTGTGTGTAAGAGAGAGAGAGAGAGAGAGAGAGAGAGAGAGAGAGAGAGAGAGAGAGAGACTAGTTTTCAATAAGTCTTCCTCTTGAGGAGCCCCAAATATGCAAGGTCCACAGCACATTACCTGGAGCAGAGTGCGGTGACTGTTAGCTGTAATAATACTGTTTTGTTCAGTCAGAAAGTCATCGTTCAGGGGCTGGAGACCCAGCAGTGGATAAGAGGCAGTTTTTCATGCCCCTGAGCAGAGATTCGGTTCTTAATAATTGCTAACAATATTTAAATAGAATCTGACAAGTACCTAACATAGTCGATACTTGGGAATTATCCGTTTTTATCTGGTGAGAACTTCGCAGAGCATCTGGCACAGATGTGACAGGAGCCAGACAGCTATTTTGATGATTTTCTAGGTTCAGGGTTCTGATATCAGGAGGGCAGACTGTGGCCCAAGGGTAAACAGGACAGTTAGGAAACCTGAACGGAAAGACGTCAGTTGCTCTCTGAAGAAGAGGTAGCAGATGAAGGTCAGAGAGGCAAAGACAGACAGAAGAACAGAGCAAACACAGCCATTCAAACCATTTTACGGAAGAGGATGAAGAGGACTCTGAGGACCAATGGGGGTTCTGCAGCACTCTCTTGGCAGAGGGAAGATTGTAGCAGCTAGAAGCACTTCCTAGAAGCGTGTGTGTGTGTGTGTGTGTGTGTGTGTGTCGGGGTGGGGGTGTCTGTGAATAGGAGCTGGGTCATGCAGGAATTTCCCAAGCAGACAGGTAGGCCTGGGAGTGGTTTCTAGTGTCCTTGGTTACTAGGCAGAGCCCCACCAGTGCTAGGGATGGGTAGGTGGGACAGGAGTGGGTGAGGTCACAGTCCTTCCAAGCGCTGCCACTCTGGTTGTTCTATTTTGCTTATGGAATTCTGCATTGGGTTTCAGCGGGGCTCTAGAACACACAGGGCCTCATAGGTCCTTCCTCAGGGCCTGTGATCTGGGAGGACTGCTGGCTTGCAGTGTCTACTGTCAGGGCCAGTCTGCCGCCTGGTTCCCTGACAGTCCTCTCTCTTGAAACTTGCTAGGTAGTTAGGCGGCTCTCAAATTCATGGTGAGCCATCTGCCTCAGTTTCCAGAATGCAGGGATTACAGGTGTGCACCACCATACTGGGCTTGCCTTTAAATCAGTTTTCTCTCCTTAATGGTCTCATGGCAATATGGGTAATTTTTATGAGCAGACTGGCTGTGAAATTTTTGTCTCAGCCTCCTTGAAGGTTCGAGTTAATCATGCCCAAGGGCTTCCTTCCGTGTGTGTTGCTCCCCGGAGCCCCCACTGCTGTGATCTTTGGCATCTTAAGGGGGGCTAGAGTCTGCAAAACCGCCATTCCTGCCCTCCGTCCTCCGTGTTAGCGTCTCCACTTCACGTGCACCTTTGCTATAAAGCTCAGCAGCTTGGAGGTAGTGAAATGGGGTGCCCTAGTCTCACAATGGTTCAGGGTACGCCATGTGCTGGCACCATGAGTCTGCAAACTGAGGGAGACAAAGAGACCTCCAGGGTTTGGAGTCTCATCTCTGCCTCTTAGAGACTGAGTGACCCTTTTCAACTCACTTGACTTCTCTGTGCCTTCCTCTCCTGATTTCTAAGTCTCAGAGAGTTGCTGTCACACTCAGAAGGAGACCCTGCACATCAGAGTCCCTCTTGAGCACAGGGGCTGAACTTCTTGTGTCAGGTTAGAGGCAGGAAGTCAGTTGCTGTGGTTCTGTAGGACATCGGGGACTCCAGCTCTCAGGCCAGGCCAGTGGCTGTGTCTCTTGTGTCAGCGTGGCAGTGGGGCAAAGGTGCCTCACTTACTTCCTTGTTCCCTTCTTGTTGGCATCTGTGCATGAAGGAGGGCCATGTTCTTCCTGGAAGGAGGGGAGCAGTTTAGCTGACCCTGCTCCTGGAAGGGTCATGCAGCCTTCGAACCCGGGGTCTTGATCTTGAATCTTCTCCTGGTCTTCCAGGGTCTTTTTAGAACCTATTCTATGGCGAACTCTCAGGTTCCCAGATGGGTAGTGGAGAAACTAAAGTAGGCAGGCTATAGTGGGAGAAATTGAGACCATAGACAGCACACTAAGCATGGGGCATCTCTGTCTCACCAGCCAGGCGTGTAGCATACCCCATGTCCAAAGACCCTTCTTCACCCTGGACAGGCCACTTCATTCTGTCACCCACTTCCTCCAGAAACTGTTCTTTCACCTGCCTTCTCAGAGTTTCCATCTGCGCGTGGATTAGACTAGAAGCTGGAGAGCACCCTGGGAGCCAGCAGGAGGGCAGGGTGTTTTGCAGTTTTGAGTTCTGTTTACCAGTTTTTCTGCTGCAGTCGTGATGTTTAATCAGAGTGGCAGGCTGGGTGGTGCCACTAAATACATCACAGGGGGATTGCCACACTGTCTCTGCTAGACTCTCCCTTTTCCTGTTGCTGGGGTTTCCTAGCAGGCTCAGGCCTGTCCTTCCCTCACCCCCAGCTTCTGTTTTCAGGGTCCAAAACACTTTTTTTTTTTCTGGTAGGAAGCTGCACTTTTTTTTTTGAAAGTTGGATTTGGTGAACTTTGCTTTCTCTACCATGTAGGTTAGAATCTTGTGACAAGAGACCTGGCGCTCTCTAGCCTACCCAGCCCCGTAGCGGCATGACAGTGAGTTATGCCCCAGTAACGGGATTGTCTGATGACCTGACGCCCTCTGGATGTGTTGTTCTCACCTCTCAGTGCTTTCCTAGGGCCTGGTGCTGATGAGGCAGGCTGTGTTACTGCACAAGGAACGGAAACTGTGCTCTTGCCTGGTGGGAAACATGGTCCTTCAGAGCAAGCCACTCACTCCGCTGATAGCCAGTAGGGCCCTTCCCCAGCCTTGTCTTCTGAGCTATGGGCCAGTGCTATGAGGATGAGTTCTCCCATAAAGGGATCAGACTGCACACCTTGTGACTTCTCTGCTCCCCAAACATATTGCTCCAGACGTAGCATGTTGTCCCTTGTCCTTGTACCACCACTCTGTCTCACTCATCTCATCCAATTCTCTCTCTAAAGGACACCCTTCCTGACTTCTCTGCCTGGAGAGAGCTGGTTCATACTTCCAGAAGTCCAAAGCAAACACTTTCTCTTCTGGGACAGCATCCAGGCACCCTAGAGTGATCTGCCCCTTTTGGCTAAGAAGTATCTTGTAATCTTCTTTTGTGAGTGCCTCTGAGGGAACACCTAGACATTGTCTCAACACCCCCACCCCTTGCCTAACAGTTGGTCATTGGCCAGGGTGAATTTTTTTTTAAAAAAGTAGCTGGCTTCCTGGAGCCACATAACAGATTCTCTTACCCAGGGAGAGAGGGAGCTGGGGAAGCAGACATAAAGAGAGAGCTTTCTTGGTACTTCACCAGTCTGTCTGCTGCCCAACTCTCAATTTGCTACCCCAAAGTCAGGGATGAGATCACCAGAGTGAAGGGCTCTTGGGTTCTGTGGCTCAGCTAAGAGGGGGCCACCACATGCCACCAGGTCCCTATGCCAGCAGGCTGACCTGTTTATTGCCACAGTCCTCCAGCCAAGCCCACCAAATACTTTGGGACTGTATAGGTTGGCAAGGAAAAGAGACAGAGGGGAGCACCTTGAAGGACTCAAACTGATCTTGGGTGTTATTGCTCTTGCCTTGATTGGATATAATGCCCTCGTCTTTGGCTCATAGGCGTTATCACCCTGGCCTGGCTTGGATATAATGCCGTTGTCTTCAGCTCATGGTGTGCTCAGTACTTCCTGAGAGTAATGAGTCCTGGCCAGGATGGCTCTCCAGGGATCCCCAGCTGCAGGGCACATTTGGTACAGTCCTGCCCAGGCCAGGCACTAGGTTCTTACTCTGCCCAGGACTGGTGGCCCGCTCTAGCGCTCTCTCGACATAACCAGCTAAATAAACACAAGGGAAACCACTGTTGAGAGGCGGCTCCATGCGGACTTTGGCCAGCTCTGACAGGGAGAGGCAGGAGGACAGATGGGAGAGACAGGGAGGGCTGAATCTGGCCTTGGGTTACCCCATCCTCTCTCCTGTGGCCTGGGAGCTAGGCTCATCTTGGCTCCATCAGTGGGAAAGGACAGATTGTTACACACAGGTAGCTTAGCGGTTTGCTCAGGGCCTGAGTCTGGCAATTCTCTCCTGCAGACTAGCCATCATGATGCCTGCCTCCGCTTCATGAGCCCTGGCCTGACCCTGCACCCATGGTGCCCACTTTCCTCCCCCTCATCAGCAACACCAAGCTTTCCTTCCTGGCTGGCAATGGGGCAGAGTGAGATGTGGTCCTGGCTATCACTTCCTGAAGTGGGTACGGTTCTTACATTTGCTCAGGCTTCCTGGTTTACAGAGTCTATTCACCCATGTTGGTTTGCTCAGCCTCTCTGCTCACCGTAGGTGTGCCAGGGGTTTCATGGACCACACTGTTTTCCTTCTGCAGGGCTGGGGAGTGAGCTGAGACTCAGTGAAATTAAAGTCTCAGGACCTGTACAGAGAGCTAGCCCCTTGGTTGTACCACAAGTTTTGTTTCTGTTAGCAGCCTCAGAAAGGGCACCCTTGTCAGCAGCTCCTCCAAGAGGCAACCCAGGGCTCCTCAGTGCCACTCAGCAATGGCTCACAGTCAGGAGGCTGACACTGCTCCTTTCCTCCCCACTGACCCCTCCCTGGGATGGGGGATACCTCTGCACAGCACCGTGTATGACTGGGTAGCTTTGGTCCAGTACAGCCAAGTGGTCCTGCCACTCTGCCCTCAAATGGACACTGGCAGTTTGCCAGACTTTCTACTAGAGGATCATGGGAAGTGTTTGGGTATCGCATACCCTTTCCTTGGACAACTTCTTTCTCTGACCTTTTCGTTTTGATGCTTGAGCAATTACTGAGCATTGGAGAATCAAGACCCACTGACTCCTACCTTAGGCCTGGTGATTATCTCGTCCCCGCCCTGGTCCTCAGTTGTCCCCCTTAAAAGGACAAACCAGCAGCAGAAGATGCTGGGGATACTCAATGGAGGTGAGCTATAAAGAGACCAAGCAGACGGCCCCACAAACATCCCTGAATGCTTTGGGATATCTCTTTACTGATTTCTTTTAAAATGACAGGACTCAGTTTTCTCAGGAAGTGTCCGAGGGCCACTGTGGCACCAAAGCAGCCCTTGTTTTGAAGAAACCGTCGCATCTTCCAGCAAACACACCCGAGATAGTACGCAAAGAAACAAGCATGATTTAGAAGCAATTGGTAGACAAAGACAGCCCTGACATCTGTGCCCAACTTCAAGGATGGCTAATGATGGAGAGGGAAGATGGTGGACACAAAGGGCTGGAAGTGGAGGTGTTCTGTTATGACTTCTTTTTTAACCTGGAAGGTGTCACAACATTCTGTTAAGGACCCCATGGGCCACTTGAAGGGCCGTTTATGGCCAGCTGCCTTCCCCAGCCCGAGGGCCCAAGACTCACCATGCTGTTTTGGTAATCCTCCGAATTTTCTTACAGCCTGGAGCCAAGATCTGCAACCCAAGGCAGCGGGAGGGGTCCTCAAATGAGTCTCATTAGCCAGTAGGCCAGTAGGTCAGAAAGCCGGGGTCAGCACTGGTCAGAGGGCGCCCAAGTGCAAGGCTGCCCTTGCTTCCTGACGACCAGCATTCTCTTCCTTCAGCAAGCCGCCTACCTCCTGCCACTGTGTCTTGGAGCGACTTGGGGACTCTGGGGCTGGTCAGTTCCTACAACCCAACAGGTGAAGTTGTCAAACTGGAATGATTATGTGTCTTGTAACCTGACACCCAGTTTGAAGGGTTGGGACAACACCTGGAGTCATTCACAGACCTTAGAACAGGT